CTAATCTGCGCCCTACAACCGCAACACAGCTTACTAAAGCTGCTTGGTGGCTGAAAAAGGGGAGACTAGGGTAGCCACGCAGACGACCTTTGTACAGTCTACTTCTGGTAAAACGTTTGCTTGTTGTTGTTACCGATACGAGCAATGCAAATATGGATTATTTTAGCTTACTTTTTTAAATATTATTCCACAGCAAATTAACAGGTCACCTAAATGGTAGCACAGTAGGTATAGTGGTGAATGCTACAATGAATATCATAGAGTATAACGTGACGGCTATTGGAGAAATATCAGGCGTTACTATCCTGATGACTCCTGATGACGATCGTACCGAGTATCCTCCTATTCGTATTCTTTAGAACGAAACAAAATTATGCATTACAGCTTCATGGTGAAACCAAAAATCGCATATTATACACATTATAATTATAATATTATTTTTAATTTTTTTTTCGTTCTATAATTGTTGCAATAAAGAGCACCAATTATAGAACAAAAAATTATTGCACCAATTATAGAACAAAAAAAAAATTATAAATATATTTTATCAATTAGGTGCTGTTTTGTGGAGATCAATTTCTTTACTTAATGGATTTGTATTATTTTGTTTAATTCCACTATTACTAGTATGTGTGAGACCATTGAGTGAGGACACCTTTGATACTTGAGTCGTAGTCTGGTCGCCGAATAGTCAACACTAGGGTTGATAAAATTTATGGTAAACATCTCGTTTATGTAATGCATACACTGTTGAGAGCGACGCCGCCTAATTGTTTACTACCCTAAACTAAACTAATAGGTCGTAAGTTTAAAGGCCGACACGGACTTTGTGTCAATTTATAAATGTTACAGACTTTCAGACAGTCTTATATGAAGGAAAAACTAATCTTAATGAAAAGAATAATCCGCTCGAATACAACTCAAAGAAATATGGTATGTCAAATATTGAGGTCACTACAACAGTTGAAATTGCCTCTGACTACCCCATCCGAAATAACAGTCGTAAATATACTATGTATTCCTTTTATCTATGAATTCAATTGTAAACAACAGTATAAAAGAATTAATAAACTATATAGTTTGAACTCACAAAAGTGGAATTGATGTGAATTGGTTAGGGGTTAGGTAGAGCTGTATTAATGACGCTAGATTATTATGATTATCACATAATTCTGAATATATAGTTTACAATTCTATTATAGTAAAACACAAGGACTTATTCAACAATAGTTATTATTATTTATTCACTATCAGTTATGTTGTAGTTTGTTTCAAGACCCCAAAATGCCATTCCCGAAAGAAGAAAATACGCAGATACAAATATGAATATTCAAATTGATTAATACATCACAGAACATAGTAGGACCTACTCATTTGACTATATTATACTTATTAGAAAGATGATACTTTCAGTCAAAGAGATGTGTAGTCGGTTGCTATATTCACTGTCCACTGTAATTTTATTGCGTATTTGCTTCGACATAATAACCGTGTTATTCGCATGCATTCGTAATCATCATAGGAAAATAAAATAAAAATACTGAGCAAATAAAAATACGTTTGATATATTAGTAGTCAAGTATCTCTTTACTCTGATGTACAGCTCTCACAGCTGCAGAACATCAGAAATTTTTTTAAGTTTTTAGAAGATTACTACATTAAGAAGTTATAAAAAAATTAAGAAAGCCGACAAGGAAATTAGACATATTTTATGATAATTGTGGCATTAATACCACAACAATAGCCACGCATCAAAAAGTATTGTCTCTCCCTTATTTTCGTAGGTCGAAACCACCACCAATGTAATGTAATGTTTGTTTAACATGAAGTCATAACGCTTTATAATATATCTTACGTGCAAAATTCTGTATTAATATTTTCACACAGTACCTGTTCAAACAAGGGTTCATAAAATCAATAAAGCGGAGAAAGGTACGGCTTCTTAAATTCCTGGAACTTGGTGTTAATAGCCCAATTTAATGTTGCATTATTTCGAAGAAGCTAATAACACTTGCAAAGGTGATATTTGGGAAATATTTGCCAATGTATTGCCAAATATTTATACAGGTTAGGTATTTATACAGTTAATTAACATAAGAATTAAAATCAATTTTTTTAATGATTTCTTAAAAATAAAAATGTGTCGACTTGACTTACTCGCCAGTTCTTTTTTTAAAATGAAGTAGCTAGCCCAACTGGATGGGAAGAAATAACAATAGAAAAATGACAAACATAGGCCACCGAAAATGTCCTTCCTACAGGAATAAACAATTTTGAGTTTGAGTTTATAATTTGTCTGTATATGTTCTATTCCCGACTATTAACTATTTTTTTTTAGATTTTGCCCGGAACTTTATCCGTGTAACTATGATTGACGGAGATAAAAAGTAGTCTACATCATTTTCCAACCAAATTAAATCGTGAAAGAGTAACAAAAAATTCAACGAACCTTTACCATAAATTTCATATAAATGGCAGTTTTATGAACCTATTAAAAGGCTATTCTATTCAGTCATTAACCGTTAATGACAAAATCCTTCTGTATACCCAGAAGGATTTTGCAAAATATCGTTTTCAATTTACACTGGTGAAAATTCCTCCCGGATTTTGTAAGCGAATTACATAAAGAAGTTTGGCTCGAGAATAGCTATAATTTTTCTCGCTGTGAATTATGGGCTGCCGGGCACCGAACTTCGTTTAGTTCAAGTTCAAACATAAAATATACTTGCTTAGTAAGCAAAAGTAGTCGATTTCACAACAAAGCAACAAGTTGATTTAGTAGACAAAAGGACTGTAACATGTGTCTTCGTACCTATTTATTTATTTATTTGCTGAAAACCTGGTTAGCTATAACGCAATTTACACACATGTTTTACTAGTTTTATCTGTCATGCATACAGAATAAATTAGAATAGAAAATCATTTATTCAAATAAGCTTAATTCACTTTTGAATAGTCATAACATTTTTTTTTAACTACCGCTCGTTCGGAAAGCTGTCTCATCACAAGAAGAACGAGCAAGAAACTAGTGTGTTGCTCTATTAAATAATCCTTGTAAGTTTACATTTACAAGTCGAAATGTGTGAATACAAATTAACAACCAGCACTAATTTTTTTGGGTAAATATAAATATACAATAAGATTAAATCAGTCGTAGTGATAAGAGCAGACCAGTCCCTACAATCAGCACTCGTTCACGAGTATAACGGATGAGCCAGCCATCACTGCGCTCGACCATTTTTAGGGAGCCCAATGACCCGGCCCACCGCCACATGTCTGGACATTTTAGTACTATATGGTAGTTACAGTATTCGCACTTACACAATATATATACATAAAATAAAAGTAGCATATTTATATAATTTTATAATAATAGAATTATATATTATTTTATTTTTGAAAGAATTCTTTGATGTCATAAAAATTGTTCTCATTAAGACATTCTTGAAGTTATTTTTAAATAAATTCACTGTTTTCGTTTCATAGAAATTTTGTTGTAGATTCTTGCGCACGAAATAAACAGCTCTTTTTTTATTAATGTATAACACCTAAATATAAATTGTCTGTACGGTTAGGGCACTGACGACGGCAATCTTCCACGAGCGCCGATACACTACCAGCCACCAGTAGTTGTACTGGTCATATTTGACTGAATTTGGAATGTCAGTAAATACTAACCCATGTGAGTTTCTTTTTATTTTATTATTTATGTCCTCTGCTTTCATAAACAGACCTATGTGTTTATGTACAAATTTATAGGATAGGAAATGAGAAACAAGTGCCAAATGTCCCTAAAACGTGCTTGGAGTCTTTTCAAAGTCATATATAACAGGGTTCGTATACGAAATTGGTGATTTGGGCTTAACCCTTAACACCGAGTCGATTTACATGGACATACTGTAAATATATGTAAGCAAACTAATATATCTTAGGGTTTTATCATGCGAATTGCGTCGCAATTTCGTGATCCCAATGTCGTAATCTTACTGTATAATGCGTTTCAGCGCAATAAGCCCGAATACCGTTCGGTTATTTGGGATCGAGATGCCTTAAAACATTCACAATTTGTGGAAAGAATACAAAAAAGGTTTTCTATAAAAGGAAAAAAATTGGTAATTACTCTTTCCTTTTTTATTCTTATTCATATTCAAATTAAAATTTCACTTATTTTATTATTTATCAAATATTTAAAGTCGTCGCTTCTTCGATAAAAAATGAGTACTATTTGAAACTGCATAGCATACTCAGTTTCATACAATTTCGACATCTATTGACAAAAATCCTGAGAAGAATCTTGTATACGCGGAATTCTGTTTCTCTTAAATAAGTATACTTAGATACTCGTATGTTTTTTACGCGGCGATTTTACTATATTTTTTATACATGAACTTTCACTTACCAAAGGTAGTCGAAAAGGGATTATATTAACTACAAGACAGCCTTTTACACTTACCTGCCTACTTTTATTTAGAGTCTTATTTTATTATTATTTAAAGTCCAACGATGGTAATAACATAAAAACGCAAGAGAAATGTAATGACATGGAAAAACTAACACGCCAACCATAAAGAATTTCTAAAACAAAACTATGGAAAAAATTCAAACAAAATGAAATAATTTCGAACATAAAAATATAAATGTTTGAAATGTAAATATACAGACCGCCACATTAAATCAAAGATTAAATCGATTGTGTGAAGTTATTTATTTATTCTTTTGCACACAAAATTGTATACATGGCGGATTATTGCCATTAGGCATTACCTAATGGCAGTGCCAGTCAACCGTCGCGCTGATCAGAAATAATGGGATGCGATTTAATAACTGATATTAAATACAAAAACTGATAAATACAGAAAAATAATATATGTATATAAACATACTAATATACCCCAACAATATAATATATTTCTATAACGTAGATTTACAGATGAAAAAAAATTTAAAATAATTAAGAATATATATCTACTAATATTTTAAATAATTTTAACAAATCATACCTGATCGCCCATACCGGTAATAATAGGCGTGTTCCAGTATGCCGCCAGTCTGGCTACTGGTTCCAACGCAAAAGCACAGGCTGGCCCCACAAATGCGATTACGTCGTCTTTGAAATGCATATCTGCGGCGAGACCCGGGGCTATAGCGCCAGAACACGACGGATAACTGTCAACGAAAACTCATTGTTAATGATCTTATTTAATAAATTTGATAAAGTAAACAAAACGATAAACGTAATATTTTGAAACAAAATAATGTTTTTTATCATTTGCAATAGGAAAATGTGCAATTGTTTTTTTATTTGAGAAAAAAGATTCAATTTTAATTGTCTTCTTAAAGAAGTATTTTTTAATAATTTTCGTAGGTGGCATGTGACCCTCGTTAATACTGTAGGTACAATTTGGTCAATATCTACTAGAATAAAAAATTAAAATTATTTTAAAATGAAAAGCACAGAAGTTTCAACGTACACCGTAAGAAATCTGGCGCGAAGGTATATAATTTCAATATCTGTTAATTTCCTTCACTATATAATAATATAAAATACATATATAATAGAAGTCTTTAATTATTTTAGCTTTTTTATTTAATCATCATTTTCTACATTAGATTTGTCAATGAAAATCAGGCTGTATATTTTCTTAAACTAGAGTAAAAAATGCTCTGTCTTTGATACAAAATCGAAAAATATATATAAGTTTTGCTTTCTACAAATAACAAGCCTTGTAAAATAAGTACACCGCCTGCATAACAAGTATTGACAAATAACGCGCCACACTCGTGTCTCTTTATCGCCGTATCATGAAGTTTACAACTCTCGTCGTATCAAATGTAATTTCGTAGTAAAATTTAATAAGAATATTTCTTATAACCTCTATTATTTACCTAGCTACCTAAGTAACTAACTTAATAAATTATACTACATATAATATAATAAATTATATTTATGTTTGTTCCATTCTATTAGAATTTGCAGAATTTTTTAAAGTTGATGTTTAATCTTAATAACCATAATAATCATCTAGATATTAGTTCGATCCCCGTGTAACACAAATTCTTCAAAATAAAGTATTCTCAATTTGATATTTGGTATTTAATCTAGCATGTAGATACTTATAGTGCATGTTGTACTCGACATTCTACGTCGATTCCAATATTTTAAACGGCGGTTATCCTAATCATTTACACGATTTAGGTACGTACTGCAATGTTGGGCTCATTCTACTTAATATTCCAAGATGTATTCTATTTTTAAATATTTTCTTCTATACGTAAATAACGTATGAACAGGTAATATTATAGAATCAATTGCGCAAGATGTAGAACTCCCCCACACTGCTATAAAAGGTATCCTAGCAACCCTTGCGAGGGTATCGCTCCATCTGAATATTGTATTAAGACATCACAACAGCTTGACGAATTAATTAGAGTACAATAACCTGCCATCTTTTACCACAAATAAGCTGCCAAGCCTGAAGTAGCTTCTTTCAGCTTCCTTTTCTGAAAGTGGCCCATTACATTTATAAAAAAATGGTGGTAAACGAATTTCTAGGAGATTCTAAGATAATACTGTAAAACAGCTGTCCATAGCAGCATATTAGATCTTCCACTACATATATATCCTTCGGTCTGAATATTTTATGTCTGTGCTTGTACCCAATATTTCTTTCACATTATACCATAGATAATATGATATAATATATAGTGGCTTCTTTTTCATTTTTTATAATATACATCAAATTTGTTTGAAAGTTTAAATAAATAAAAAAACACCTTTTTCGACATGAAATAGATAGATGTATGCATAATTATTTGTTAATAATGTACTACTTTTTAATTAATTGTTATTGTAATTAATTTATAATTATAATTACTCACTTATTAATTATTTAACTACAAATACTAATTTACAACTTACTGAAGAACAACCTACCTTCCCTGCACCTTTTGGAGTTCAATTCCGTGATGCGCCAGGAACTTCTCGTTTACTTTCTCCAAAGCCAAATCAACAGCAGGGCCGCAGCGTTCCAGGTCAAACGGCGAGTCTAGTCGAGATGCCATCAACACACCTATTTTATAAACTGTCCGTTCGGACTGTATAGAACTGGATAATACGGGTATAAATAAAAACAAAAGTGATGTTTTCTTCAGATGCATCTTTTTTTTTTAATGTCCAATCGTTGCACTTAAACACTTATAAAATATGATTCTATAGGCACCTAAAACTATAATATTTGAATAAATTTAATTTACTATGGCATGTCGTATATAGTCTTTGTATAAATATAATATTGAATAATAGCATAAATAATGTAGATTATTTTAATAAAATTTTGTAATTACACTAAATACATACTTTTGCACAAAAAATAATTTAAATAACACTATTAAAACTGACATTGAACAGAATTTAATAAAGTAAATCTTTAAGTCGTTTAAAAAATCCTTAAAGATTATCGCAAACTTTACAAAGAAATAAAAAGGAGAAAATATCTAGTTGTTTAGTTTAAATAAATCTTGAATATTATTTTCATATTATCATTACTTTTTTTTATTAAACACAATTGCATGTCGTCTTAGTCTCAATTTCAAAAGACATTCAACAAGTAACTATATAAATATTATTTAGCAGTCTTTTAATTTTACACGGAGTTTCATACAAAATTACATTCGCAAGTCGATTTAACGAAAAATTTTATCGCGTCCGAAACGAACGGGCGTCCGCCTGAAAGTTCTTACAACACTGAGTGAGCTTACTGTCTCGTCATAAAGCTATATTCATGAAAACAGGGAATGGGATGAAGAAAACAGAGGGGAGGCAACAGGTCGTAGTTTCCCGCCATTTCTCTCTCATTAACCCTTAACGGAGCAACATCACTAAAATTAAATTTATATGAATAGGTACATTCGCCTTCAAACTTCCGGAGTTATCGATTTTCATGTCGCTGTTTGTTTAGGTTAATAAAGGGATGACCCTGTCTAATAAAGCAGGGACGATAGAACAATATATACCTAGTAAAAAGTAGTGCAATAGGTACTTTACTATCTTTTAAATCTATCTAATACATGAGAGAATAATATTAGTAAGTTAGTGTCCTATCTGCTATTGGATGTTTCACAATTAGCTCAAAACATATGTCGGTCATATTAAATGTAGCTGTTTAATTAAGTAATGCACTACACAATTTACCTTGATACAAGATTATGTTATCTGTGGTAGTACACCACAGATAACATAATATTACATAGTACTACGAAATGTATCACTAAAAAACTTATTAAAAACATATTAAGATTTACTTACCCAATCTCACCCGTCCTTACCGGAGGAGTGAAATTGTTCAAAAATTTTAAGAGTCGACAGAAACTGGAGTGAGACTGTTGTGTTAATTTTTGTAGCTCTACATAATAGAGTAATACACTATGTCCCTTAAAGCGCCCGAACCTAAACGAACGCCATGTAGATGGATAATACGCTAGAAACTTTTTATAGAGTAGTCAAACTTTATGATATTTTTTATTTCATAGTATGATATTACATACGTAGATGTAGCTGCATATAAATTTATAAAAATGTACCCTTAGTGTGAAAAGAAACTCCACCGGAAGCATAAATAAACAAAAACGAACATAAATAAAAATTAATTTAATTCAATATTTCCCATACTTATGTGTTAAAATATAGGTATTTGAAAACAACTTGAAGGGTTATGTTATTGTGGATAGGATTTCTTAGTTTCAATCAGTAAGGAAATGATAATTAATATAATATATACCATGATTATCCAATCCGTTATTTTCTTTCAAAGGATAATAAGATTTATCTCAAAGGTATATTGAAATAAAATAAAAATAGTATATATCACAGGAATTGTAGCTGTAACAACCTTGTACAAGATAAATAAAAGTAAACAAAAATAATGGACTGAAAAGGTAGACAGACATGCTTTTTACGACCAATTTTCTCAGCTATATAGAATAAAAAGTTTTGTTATGTAGTTACAGAACATGTAACCGCACTTCCTTCGAAATTAATAGAAAAAGATTTCAGCAATAAGATTTTAGATTTTGTCTCGCCTAACAGCTTGTATAAACTGTAAAGGTAAGCCGTTTGAAGGGTAATATTCGGCAATGAAATTACACGGAGGAATGACGTATTTCTCCACAGGAATATCAAAGAATAAGTCTCATATGACGATGTCCTTGGTGCCTAAATTTTCTATAGGCATTGATTACCACTGTCCATCAGATTGGTGGAACTTGTTTTTCATTCTGATAAAGTACTCGCTACTCCTAAATTAATAATAATAAACATGGACAATTCACACAGCTCCCTCTATTAGGTACCAAACAAAGCTGAGCTTGTATTGTTTTTTTTATGGATGACAATGGAATAGTGCACCCTCCTGCGTGAACGGTGTGCGCTGGCGGAGCACCAGTGGAGAATGATTAGATGAGCACTAGGTAAGGTTAGTTATCACCTCGTGGCAAGTTTACCATGAATTTATAACAATTTTTTTTCAGAGAAAATCACATGGAGGTTTATCTCACATGGTACATTGCTAGCAATGGGGTTACAAGTCCACATTACTAATAATCCCCTTCCCCCTAGCTTGTGTTGTTGTGTACTGGACAACTGATATAAATACGGAAGTACATTGTTTCCAAATACATACATAATGTACTGGTATCTGAAGCTTAGCCTAGTTTAGACACTACTGCGCTGGACTTGGTGTTAAATAGTTTTTAAGAACTACCTGCATTATATATACCTACTGGGTATAGAAACTTAGTAAAGTCCATTTTTTTAACTATTTTTTGCACAATAAACTTATTATTACTATATATAGACAACAGCCAGATCATTACAAACTACTCATGACTACAAATGTTTGTACAGTGCGCGGAATCGCACCCGCAATCATCGAAAGGTGTGCTAGAGCGCTAGACCACCGAGGCCGTCAAATTTGTTGACCATTTGTGTGTTTGTTTGTGGCAAAACTGTACAATGTTACAACTACGTAGCATATTACTTGTTAACCCATAAAGTTGTTTATATTTACCACAATTATAGATAAGTACCGCATTTTCGCGTAAAGGCCGGAAATCTCTTCATTTTACGACTCGTACGAATGTTTGTGACGCATGGTGCCGTCATTAAATTTCTGAAACACCGAAAGTGTAGGACATTAGAAGAGCGAGACGAATTGAACATAAATGCACGTACGCGGACGTCGTCAATTTCTTTATGACTTGTAAGTCCGTCTAAGTCCACTATGTTATTAACTAATATTTACTAAATTACACAGTAAGGCCAGACTTTTTTTATACTATGTAGGTGGCAGACATGCATATGGCCCATCTGATGGTAAACTGTTATCTTAGCCTATGGACGCCTGAAACACCAAGGGGGTCACGTGCGCGTTTCCGACCGTTAAGAAACCTTAATATACCCTTTATGAAGACTTTAATAACATAATATACTATATTGTATTAGTATCAATAATAGATAGTACATTTATATATCTACTTGCGTATCTACAATTATTTTATCTTGGATTCTTTCAAAAACTTTATCACGCCTAAATGTGGTTAATACAGATTTACGGGTATGAGATTAGGTACAAATGGTTCCGGAAAAACATTAAGGGAATAGATTTATAGTATGGTTAGAGATTATATATACCTATTATATAAGAACGGGTTAAATAGCGTTTACAAATAAAGCGTCTATTAAGTCGTAGGAGCGACGTTTTCTTGGTAATCACTAATCGACGGCCTCGGTGGTCTAGCGGTTTAACACACCGCTTTACTTGGATCCATCCAAGGGTTCGATTCCTCACAAGTTGCAAACATGTATACATTGTAGTCATGATTATTTGTATCGGTCTGGATGTTTTCTATGTATATTATGTATGTATTTACTAATAAATGTCTTTATGTATTCTATTAGTCGTCTGCAATAAGTTCTGCTTAGATTGGGATTAAGATGACGCTGTGTAAAAAAATCGTAACATATAATTATACTATAAAATATATATTATTTAGAGAGATTCACGAAACTAATACGAAATAATGTTTAGGTTAATAATTAGGGGCTGATTACATTAAGCAATACTATGTACTAATAAATAAAATATGCATTTCGAAACATGACATTTATTCAACAAAATTTCTACACACTGCTTACAATTTTTGCATAAAATATAAATACAAATATGAAAAGGTACTATTTGGTGTTATAAATTATTACACATAACAAAATAGGTACACATTTTTATAAATATATATGGACCAAAAACAAAAATTAAAATTTAAACGTACAATTTTTTGTATACATAAAAAACACGTAATATTGATTCTTTCATTATTATTGTTCAAACCACCTACATAGGGCAATAATATACTCTCTTATAAAGTCTCTAATCTATAGAATATATTAATTAAACATTAAAATTTAAATACATTTTGTAAGCGTCGATTTCTTACGTACTGACTACGGTACGGAACAACTAGGTACCTAACTAATCGGTGTGCGCCGGTAAAAATCTTTATTTCGACGACTATAACGCCTATAAATAACCTGGTCATCTGCAATGAAACTTAACTCGTCTACATTGATAACAAACTCGTCTGCAGAAAAACCAAAACTCATCCACAGTAATAACTAACTCGTCTAAATGTGTAACAAACTCGTTTGCAATAAAATCCAAAACTCGTCAACAAAAATAACGAAGCTGTAATTTACAATTACAACTATTATGTTATTATAAATACAGATTTTAAATGCATAACTAGAACTAAATGCATCTCCGGAAAAAAAAGTGATTCTGTGACGGTGGAAATATAGCTGTGCTTATAATAGCACAATATGTTAAAACACATCAGTTCGAAGCATAAAGCTGTATTCATCGAAATGTCATCTACTTTAAAAATTATAATGTATATAAATTTCCAATCCACTAGTAATCACATATAAACTTATGACGGTTTTATCCACTCTAAAATTTTAGCATTAATTCCGGGAAAATCATAGATTTTCCGCTCCGTCACAAGTCTGTCTGAAATTAAGAAACAACGCAAAAACGCAATCAGCCAAGCTACTGGATTATTTTAACTTTCTTGCACAAAATATAGCAGACACAATTCTTAATGTT